AAAAAATAATTCGAAATAAATATTTATAAATATTTAAAAAAAATAATTCGAAATAAATATTTATAAATATTTATCATTAATATTGTGTACTGTCTGACTTAATACTTTAAATCTTGGCAGTACTTTGCGTAAGTATTTTATCATTGAACGAAGTATTGTATGTCAATATTTAAGTATTGAAATCACTCATAAGGTAGTATTTGTAACACTAAACACTGAAATACTTCAGCACTAAGAGCTGTACTTGAATCACAGAATATTACTAAACACTGTACTTTTAATACTCGAAATAAATAATTAATCAATGATTTTCAGTATGATATTTCTGTAAGGGTAGTTTTCGCTCCTACCTCGGACATAGATATATTTTAATCTATTCATTTTTTTAACATGATTAAAAGTTAAAAAATGTTTTATTTTCGATATCTTTTTCTTTGTACAGTCATTATTTTTCCACACTTGGCAACACTGCCTTTATTTTGGTACGAGTTATAATATAACCGTATATTTTAAAAATCGTTCTCATTTTTTGGTTTCAAAATAGTGAGAGGCTCGAAATTATGTCGACAACAAACATAGAACTCGCAAACGGATGACTGCATTTTTATCTACAATTATAAAGTGGATCGATTCTTGTGATACAATAAAATTTATTTTATACTTTGAATATTAATGAATACATTGTGCAAATTTCAAATCCATTGATCCTACCGTTTCTGTTTAAAAATTTCGTAAAAATGGTCTTAAAAACGGCCTTCCGCATGTAATTCCGCCTTTAATATTGGGATGTGCATTAATTTTAAAGGATTTCCAAGAGATGACGTAACTAGTACTATATCGCATCTGGCCATATTGTTGCTACTTTCATGTCAAGGCACCATCATGTGGCTTTAGTTTTCAGTATGTGTCATTTTGCCGAAATATAAACAACATTGTTTTTTGAGCATTGAATATGTCGAATTTTGTGCCAACAAATCGCAATTTGCAGAAAGTTTTGCTTTTTTGCTTCCATTTGAAGAAAA